CATCCATTTGGAATGGGTATTTGGGCTTTATGGAGCCCTGATCGCTCTTTATAGAAACCAGGCACCATTAGGGGGAGGAGGAAGGAGGAGGGAGCACTGGCAGCTTCAGTTTTTCAAGTTATAATGATCCTAGTAATTGAGACACCGAATTGCACATTTAAATCGCTTGAAAGTAAAAATATCGTTTTGTAATGCTGGTGTTAATAATGTAAACATTAAAAAGGAATTAAATACTTAGCTGTATTGTGGGGCACGATCGCCTCGTTTTTCTTCTTTCAACTTATTCAACTGGAGGAAATGATTGGCTGCACTACCCGGATACGTTGCCATAAAAAGCGGGTCTGGACTTGCATCAAAGTAGTCATTTAGTGCCCCCTGTGTACAGGTGGACGGAAGGGTCACGCTGGCAGCCAGTTGCTGCCTTTTTCTGGAGGGGGGGCTTTCCCCCCAACTACCAGGTGTTTGAGGGGCGCAGGGTCAGGCCTCACTGGGGTCTAAGTGCAGCCTGACGTGACCAGAGCCCCGGATCCTGTCACCTACCCCAGAGATCTGCCGCCTTCCCTGCACTGGTCCTGGTGCAGTGTCCCTGCACTGGAAGGCCCTGAAGAGAACGGCCGACATTACAGTGTCAGTGGAGGGGAAGATGCTCCTCTTTCCAGGCCGGGGGTGGGGCTGGGGGTTGGGGCTGATGGGAGGGGAGAATGGTGAAGGACCAACCTGGAGCAGGCCTGGAGCAGGTCGATTTCGACTTTGTTCTGGGATCAGCTCTCAAACTTCCCACCCGCTACCAGGGCAGCTTAGTAACAGGAGGGGAGAAGTTCTGAGTGAGGCATCAGGAAACAGACCCAACCCGGCGGGCTGCAGGAGGCCTGGGCGGGCTGCAGGAGGCCTGGCCGGCTGGCGGGTGCTCAACTCCCATTGTGCCTCTGCTCCTCCCTGCCCCACCCCCCTAATTCTTGGCACCCACACCTTCATTTTAGTTCTTTCCTTCATCTTCTATTTTATGTTTTTGGCCACAGAGCATGCAGATTTAAATCAAAAGTCAGAAGTATAGATCATTTTGAAGAGCTGCTGATGAGTGGTGCCTTGGCGTCTGTTTTATTAGACTGCTTCCTGCTCTTTCCAGCGTGGCGTGATGGGCACCGTGCAGCCGGGAGGAGTGATGGGGCTGCCAGGGTGCTGCCCAGAGGCCCAGGGCGGCCTGATGCCGCTGCATGATGGAAGAGCCACAAACACAGTCTGCTCCTTAGCTTCCTCTTCAATCACACAGGGGGACACCAGAGGGACAGAGGTGGGCCGGGTGACTGTCTCCGGGGCTGCCCTGGTCCCCTCTGCATGGGGACATGAGGAGCAGTTCTCTTCTACATCCTTGCCCTGAGGGCCAAATTAGAGCGCCCGGAGACTGATGAGGAAAGCGAGGTAGAGGGGCTGGCAGGCTAGTCTACCTGCACTCTGGGCACGTTTGTCTTACGAGGACATGGCTCAGGGAGGGGCCTGGATGAGAACCTGCAACCCTGGGCCTGCCGGGACCCTGCCACCCCCTCCTACCTCATGCTTGCTTTTTCTCCCTCCTTATGAGCCATAAAAATGTGAGGTATCAATTGGACATGAAGATTATGAAGAAAAGGGCTTAGTTGAGACTGGCTATCAAGCCCGTTTCCTCCTCTTCCCAGGCATATAATTACACTGCATCTCAGACCTTGGCATCGGGGCTCGGCTCCTGGAATGTGGGTGTGCCTTGCCCTTGCCATCTGACTCCTACGCCTTGTGGTTGAAGTTGCTGGTACCATAGGAAGGAAGGAGAGGAAGGAAGGAGCCCCTGGCTGCTTGAGTGGAGCACTCTGTGGGCTCTCTGCCTACCAGACTGGATTGGAATGTTCAGCTACTGATATTTGGGGATTGTTTGTTCTAGCAGCTGGCCTGACTAATATCTTTGTGTTACTCAGTTTGAAAAAGAAGACAGCTTCCCATTCTGGGCGTGGGAGGCCAGCTGAGGCTCCTAGGCTCCTAGGCAGGAGGGGTGTAGAGGTGGATGGTTCAGAGGCTCCTTCTGCTTCTCATATGCTAGGGTTCTCCATTTCCATCTTAGACTTTTTCCAGACCCCTGTCCATCAACCCCTTGTGGCCAGCACAGCCCACTTGAGGTTCCCTGGGGAGAATGTTGGTCCTTTTCCTGGAACACTTCTCAGAATTGCCTTTCAAGATACAACCCAAGCACCACCTCCACCATCACCGTGCAAGGCCGTGAGAGCTGCTGGCCTGGGTAATGTGCTCCCTGCCGCGGCACTAGTGTATTTTCTTGTTTAATGATTTATTTATTTATGCATACAAGAACTGGGGTGCAGGCCAGAGGTGCAGGAGGTGAGAGGATCCATCAGAGACAGAGTGTGGAGCAAAACAGGCAGATGGACTGAAATACACTGCTGAGGGGAGCAACAGGTGAGACAGGAGAGGTCTGCTGTGCCATGTGGGTCGGGGATCGGACTTGTGCTGCAGTGGCTGCGGAGAGCTTCATAGTGCTGCGCTTTAACACACCCTTGCGCCACCAGGGAGGGCCCACGCACCAGTGTATTTTCATATGAGAGTCTTTGTTCTCTCTTGAATCATAAGGTTCTTAAAAATGATGTCAAGATCCTCACACTTCCCTGTTTCCTGCACAGGCCCTACGGAGTGCTGTCTGTATGTATCAAGCACTCAGGAAACATTTGTTGGATGGGTGAATGGAAAGAAGACAGATTAATGAAACCACAAATGAATGAACTACTCAGCCAGATTTTCAAGTGCTCCACCATCTGGGCCCACTCCAGTTCTCTACATTTCTACTACTCTCAGCCACAAAACCCCCCTTCTGAATGGACTGGTCTGACCGCAGACTTGTAAACATGCTGGATTTTTCCTTTTCTCCGTCCCCTGCCCATCCTGCAGTCCCTCGGCCCTTTCTCACTGCCGTTACCCATCAAGGCCCTGGAGGTCTCCCTTCTTCTAGTGGTTTCTGTGATGTCTCTGCTCTCAGCACTCCAATTTTCCACAAAAGGGCTGAACCTCTGCAGCACACAGGTTACTCTTGTGTTGGTGGTTACTGTCTGGGGCGGTGGTTTTCAGTTCATTGCTGTTATTCTTGCCTCCTCAACTAGAATCCAAGCTCCCAAGAGCTGGATCTTCTACAGTGTTTAGCAAAGAGATCAGCAGGGAACTGCAGCTCAGTACAAGTGACATTGCTGATGGCTGAGGTCTAGGGCTCTCCCACCCCTTTCGCCATTTTCTTTTTTAGATTTTTGTTTACTTATGCATACAGAACTGGGGTACAGGCCAGAGGTGCAGGGGCCATGAGAGAATTCACCAGAGACAGAGTCGGGAACAGAACAAACAGATCACTGAAATACACTGTTGAGGGGAGCAGCAGGTGGGTCAGGAGAGGTCTGCCGCGCCATGTGGGTCAGCTCCAGGGCAGGGGATCGAACTTGCACTGAAGCAGCCACAGTCAGTGCTGTGCTCCAACACGCTGCACCACCAGGGAGGGCCCCCTTTTGCCATTTTTTTTTTAAGATTTATTTATTTATTCATACAGAACTGGGGTACAGGCCAGAGATGCAGAGGGTGAGAGGATTCACCAGGGATAGAACAGGGAGCAGAACAGGTGGATCGACGAAGTACACTGCTGAGGGGAGCAGAAGGCGGGTCAGGAGAGGTCTGCCACGCCATGTGGATCTCCTCCGGGGCAGGCAGGGATCCAACTCATGTGGAAGTGGCTTAAGCTTCTCAGTGCTGTGCTTTAACCCGCTGCACCACCAGGGAGGGCCGCTTTTGCCATTTTTAAAGTAAGCTCAGATTGGAGGTCAAATACACACACCCATCATCTTCTCTTTTTGTAACTTTCAGTTATTCTCCATCTGTCCAAACTTGCGGTAATTGGGTGGGCTTATTGGGCTGAGCTGCTGAAGCTGCAAAGCCTTATGCAAATTTCCAGACCACAGGGGCCCTCTCTCTGAGTCCACAAGATCAGTCAGCACAGTCTAAAATCCACAGCCAGCCTTGTCTCTCGCAGTAAACTACACTTTTGTTCAAGACCTCTTTGGGGAAAGAGGTGGCGATGCAGGCGGGGCCTCTCATGATTTGTCAAGCGGGAAGGCGGCCTCACGTGGGAGGTGCTGTGGGCTACAAAGAGCAGCTCCTGGCAGGAGTGAGGCGGCGCCCCGGGAGTGGTGGCCGCACAGGGCTCCGAGGGTGGCAGCCCTGAAGGGCTTCCGCTGCCATCGATCACTCCCACCTTGTGCTCAGGCAGGTCCCACAACACCCAGGGCTGAGAACTAGAGGGAGGAATCAGAAACTAAACCAGGGAGCTCTGGATTTGGTTGATGTGGTACCGAGTCCTTAAGTAAGGAAGTGGCCTAGAAAAAGCAGTATTAAGGGCTTCTTTCTTGTCATTAGCAATATTTAGTTTTCAGCTGACTCCCTCATACCCCCCCCCAACATGCTTGGTTCAGCTCTCCCCACTGTGGGCACTGAACATGCCCATGAGTCGCGTCATTACCTCCACCGAACGTAATTAGGGAAGTTAACTTTCTTTCCAATCCATGTAATGTATCCTGCCATTGAATAAAAGTGCTTTATTATTCAGTCCACACCTCCCTTCTATTAATATGGATATTTGGAAAGGTGGTGGCAGTTAACCACGAGAATCCAAACATTATTTAATCTCGCATTGCAAAAGTTTCAAATGAAAGAACCACATACTTCCAAGCTGGTGCCTGCCTTGAAGAGCTACACGCAGATCTTTTATTAGCCACCACTACCCGCCCTGGCTCCCCAAAAGACTGCAGGAAATCAGCGAAGTATTCCTGCTGTATGCTCTAGTCGCCCATAAATTGGAACCGCCGTACGGTGAGATGATCGGAATACGCGAACAGAAAGGGTAATAAGGCGTACCAAATAATCACGGGTGACCTCAGCAATTTTATTAACAAATTTATTTCCCTAATTGGGTAACGTATCTCAGTGCTTGACTCAAGGGCATTGTAATAGGTTTCCACACTGCAGAAGAAGGAATTCATTAGAACTGTTTACTCTTAGTTCCATATTTACACTTGTCCACCAATCTTGTAAACATTGTGCCAGGTTTCATGGGTCCTCCTGGCTCCTTTCTTCCCTCACCCCATCCCCCCCAATAAATAAATAAGACAGTGGAGAGTGTATTTCACGTGGCTTCTCCTCATGTGCGTTACACCCCCACCGTAAGCAGCTTTTCATGGTCAGAGCCACCTTGTGGCTGGAACCTGGCAGAATCATTGCTTCCAGCAGGCAATAGGAAGTCTGTCGGGACCGTCCGTGGGCAAAAATGGAGAACGGGGTCTCAGCTGTCCATTCAGAACCTGGGTGCAAAGGAGGTGGGCAGCTCTGTTCCTCTTCACCCTGCCCCACCTCAAACGCCTCTTAGGGAGGAAGAGGTGTTTCTTGGCTCTGTTTGCCCTTGGGCGGGCAGCCCATGCCAACAGAAAGCTGAACTTGTGAACTCATTCCTCAAGGCTTCTTCAAGTAAGATTTTTTTGCCTCACAGCTTGTGAGGACTGCAACGACAGCAAAGCGTTTTTGAATGCAAATACTCCAGAATCTCACCGCAGTGCTGGTCGCTAGCTCACGCTGCATCCCCGGATCAACTGCCAAATGGGCCCGTTTACACAGACTGTCCTGTCAGCATTCGTGCAAGGTACCAGGACCCGTGGAATCTGCTCCAGAACTGGTTTCCTTAGCAGCAGCGAGGACAGCCTGCCACGTCTAGGCAGGACTTTTGAATGTAGATATGATGGTGACAAAGACGTCGAAGGGTGTCTTGACCACCCTACCTCCTAAGAGGTCCCTTTTGAGACAGATACTCTAGGAGAATCCCAGTGGACCTGGCAGATCTCATTCTCCTTCTTGAATCGCCCCCAGGATCTGGATAAGGTTTTCCAGGCCAAAAATGTAGCCCGGATCTGGTCCGTCGTGAGTGGTGTGCTCGTTCCAGGAGCCTTTGTACGTCGTGTGAGCAAAGTCGATCATCCGGATGTCAACCTTGGCGAGCTCTCCCGGGGAGCTGCCAGGGGCCGGGTGCAATGCCTCCTGGGGAAGGGGGCCGCCCGAGGTGCTTGCTGGCAGCTCCTGCCCGTCATAGATGATGAGGAGGGAGCTGGAGTAGAATCGGTACGAGCTCTGGCTCTTAATGACCGAGAGGAGGGCCCGGAGCTGGTGCTGGATGGGCCCCAGCAGCTCCGTCCGGAGGCGGGTGCCGTCGTGCAGGAACTGATGGAGGGCTTGTCTGAACCCCTCAACCGAGAGCTTCCTTCCATAGTACTTGTCTTTGCAAAGAAACTGCTTCTTATCAATTTGATAGACCTTAACATTAAAAGAAGAGACAATGTGAAGAGTTACAATCTTTGAAGAAAAGTCGCGGCTGCTATAGTCACAGCAGCATGAGCTAACTTACAGAAACAGGTTTCCAGGAGACACGGGGCAGGCAGGAGTGACGGAAACCAACCGATCGATGATTATTTTTATTAGGCGCCATGGAAACTTTGCATTGTAAAGCGCTTTCTGTGCAAACCTTCTATAGGGACCCGAGGCCCAAAGATGCTTCACCCTATCCTGGTGACCCCCTCCCCACCACGAGGAGGTTTGGGATCTCCTTTTTTGTGAATTCCCAGCGTCAACTTCCAAGTCGTGATTTAAATCCTGGCCTCTGGCCCTCCTCAATTCAAATATTAGCAAACCTAAGCTCTGAAGCTTTAGTGGGAATCTGAAATGACAGCCAGTGGCCTTGGAAAGCCAACCAGATAAAAATCTCCCAAAGTTTAGAGTCCTTTCTCTGCAGACTCTCAGGAAACAGGAATGACTCTTGGTAGACTGGGGTGAAATGTTTGAAGATAAAAAGTCCAGGACATGTGTGGGCGGAGCTTTCAGGCTGCCAGGGGGGATGAGGGGCCCAGACAGGGGAAGGGAGGCTTTATAGCAACTCAGTGGGGCCCGTGGCACCTCTCCCTGGCACCAGCTCCTCTCCCCTCCCCTGTCATGACTTGGCCACCAGAAGAGAGCAGATGGAGGAGAGAGGCTGACGGGGGGCCAGCGGCAGCCACCCCCGTTTCATTCGGGTGGCACAGGCAGCACAGAGTCTGAATCGAGGCAGGCGGCTGGCATGGCCAGAGGCTGACTTGGCACACCGGGGAAGGGCTGCAGTTCCAGGCCAAGGCAGCTTCTCAGGTTTTTCCTGCTTCAGATTAGGATATGTTTATGGGAAACCAGTGTCGGGAAAAGGCCCTGGTGCTGCCTTCGAAGAGCTGGAGATGGGTTGCTAAATTAGCCGTCGTAAAGACATGACGGGCATCACTCTCTAAATCAATCAGGTCAATTTCAGAAGGTTTGAGGTCCAGAGGGAGGTTTCATTTACAGCACAAGTCATTGTACTCCATTCTCTCGAGGACTGCATTCATTCTCAGTCTTCTAAGGGACATCTCTGCAGCAAATTTATAGGCTCAACACCCAGCGTTAAGGGTGGCACTTTCAATTAAGGAAGGCTGTATTTACCTTGAAAGCCGTCCTGGGTTAACTGTGAGCAGAGAGACTATACGGTGAGCTCATGGAGAAAGCTCATTTCCTCCTGTTCAGCTCAGCCCCTGCCACAGCCACATCGGAGAGGCAAAAATGAAGCGTGGCGTCTGGGCGATCAAAAAATTAACCGTTCCCTTACCGGGTGTAGCGGGTGAAGACCTTCCCACATTGTTAACCAGAACAGGCAGCAAAAAGCAGCAGCACAGGTGGTGTAAAAGGAGAGGGAAGGGCTCATAAGAATTCCAAGGGCAGGCTGGCTCAGCGCCTCCAAGAAGGTGAGAGCTCGCTTTATCATTCAGGGGCCCGCGCGCCGCCCACAGAGTGCAGGCGGCTTTCTCTCAGTTCTTCCCTCGGCCCTGCTCACACACTGTCATCAAAGATCTGCTCTCAACATGGCAGGACCCCTGCAGCCACGGTGGGACGTTTCAGCTGCCAAAGGCCCTGAGGCCTAGCTTAAAAATGGTGGGTTTTTGACACCACTGTCTCGAAAGGTGCTTAAAAGCACCTGGGGTGCCCTAGCACAGGGCATGCGTTTCCTTGGTGAAAGAGCGGTGCCTGGGTACCTCCTCTGTTGCTCCCCAGTGGCGTGGCCCGGCCCGTGGACCCACCTGCATGCCACAGATGCGCACGCCCAGGCAGGCCGAGGTGCTCTGCGCACACTTTCTCATGTGGCGGGCCTTCTTCTCCTCGGACGCATCGTCCCCGTGCTGCCGGGTCCCCATCTTCAGGTCCAGGATGCAGGGATGCTTGTACTGTGACACCACATTTTCCAGCAACAAGAAGCCTGTCATGCTGGGTTAAGGGAGGCCACCACCCCTGGAGGCCGTTGGCTCCCTGAGGCAGGCGGAGACCTCCCCCGCCCCCCCCCCCCCACCACCACCACCATGGTGCCCAGTTCTTTCATTACAGACGAGCCATCATCGCTATTAAGAATTCAAGGTATTAGCTTTGCAGCCTGCCTTAATAAGTCCATTTATTTAGGGGGAGTTTATGAGTATGTGAGCTTCTTTTCTTTTTTTGCTCTGAGGCTGAAATTTAAATGCGGGTGTGAAATCCCTGGCAGGCCATGCCCAATTTGCATTTTATGGCAGAAAATCATAAGGCTAAAACCTCGAGTCACTGAATGGGCCAATACCTTTTGGGAGAAGTGGGTTGATGTTCGCTTTGGAGATGAGTTGCAGGAATATTAATTTCAGTAGAGTAATTATCCTGCAAAAGCTTCTTAGGGATTAGGGTTGCAGATGTGTCTTAGTAAATACTGTGAAAGCAGCCACCCGTTTGCAGGAAGGAGCCCGGTAGTGACAAAGGGACATTTCAAGCCTAAATTTGCTCTGAGATTGTGGCAGCCAGAGAGGGAGGGGGGGTCCCCCAAGAGTCCTCCTCATTTGCAGGTCTCTCAGAGGGAGCCACTCCCCTTCTCTTGCCATCAGTTCCACAGCAGACAGGGAGGCTGCGGTGTGGAGATCCACCCAGCCCACTGAGCCCACTGCTGGAGGGTGACAGTCACCCTCCTTCCCTGCCCAGGCGTCACCCCCTCCCCCCAACCCAAGCCCACCCTGTCCTCATGCTCAGGTTGTAGAGACGTGGCCACTGCCCAAGCCAGGACAGTGTTACGCTTAACTTCCAGTTTGTCTTCCCCATCCTTTTTGGGAGTTTCTTGATTTCTTCCAGTTCCCAAGTTTCAGGGCTTGTGCCTCAAAGTCTCCCGCACATCCGTCTCTCCCTGCACGCACCCCTCTCCCTTCCCACTCCTGGCCCTGCGCCTGTCACCCCCTCTTTCCCGAGGATACGGTGCCGCTTGTTCTCCGGGTACTCGGCACACAGGCGGGTCAGGTGGGCCTGGTGGCAGTGCAGGCCCCACGGGTTAAAGCTCCTCCTCTCGGCTTGGAGTCCCTCGCCATCTTCCACCAAGGGGGAGACTTGGGCGTTGAGGTGGAACTCGGACCTCAGGAGCGTGGTGGCTGGGCTGTGGGGGAGGGAAGCAGGCAGTTGGGGCCCGCTGTGGCCAGAGGTCTGGGGAGCGGTGCCCATCCCTCTGAGGACTCCCTCAGGCCGCCAAGTGCCCATCCTCCCATCCTGCACCTCGGCCCCACCAGAGTAGGGAGACTGGGAGCCTTCGCTTGTTACCGTGGCGTCATCTGCTGGGGACCTGAAAATGCCACGGGGGTGCGAATCACGGGGCTTTGGGGCCCTCTCCCTCCCGCCCGCCATGTCTTGGCTTCCCTGTCTGTGAAATGGAGGGAGCGTGGACCAGCTTCCCCTGGCTGAGCTGGGAGGCGTAATTAGGTCCTCTCCTCTCCGGGAGAAGGAGGTGCTTTCATTGTGTGAGCTGCCTTTCGTTTCCCATAAATGTTTCGAAAATCCCCAAGGAGCCCTTCCCACTGAGGAAGGTCAGCTAACATTCATCAGAGGTCTTGGAGATGTCTCCGGAGACCTTGGGCGCCCTGGGCCGCCGGTGCATCTGAGGCCCCCTCTCCTCTTCCTGTGCCTCCCACCTAGGAAGGGGATTTCTGGGGCACACTGGCCACATTTTTTCTTCATGTCAACTATTCTGGGGTTTCTGCTCAGCAGATTCCCGCCCCCCTCGGCCCCCCCCAAACCCTCAACACCCACTGCATGGTCCCAGTGAAACAGGTATTTAACTGGACAGATGTGGACCAAAGGCCTGCTCTGTGGCGGGCTCTGCACATGCCTCAGCTTCTGAGCAGATGCACCCGGGTCTTTCCGCGAGAAGCGGCAGGAAAGAAATGCTTTCCTTCTTTGGCCACTTCGGCCATGCTAAGCAGAGCCCTCATCTGAATCTCATTTTCTGAGCCCTGGCCCTAACGGGAGTCGCCCCCCGCCCAGGGGGAGCAGTGCCCGAGCCTGGCCCGCTTCGGCCTTCCGGCCCTCACCTCTCTGTGAGCGAGTGCGCCAGCTGGGCGTGCTGCCACTGGGCCAGGGGGCGGGCGCCGCTGCTGCCCGCCGTGGTCTGCTGGAGTGACTGCCATATCGCCACGGCCGACTCCCTGGAGACCTGGAAGGAGCCCCTGTCCTCCTGGGGCGGGTTGGCAACCAGGCTGAGATGGCCGAGGCTGTCTTTCTGGAGGCGCACGGTGATGGTGCCTGCAGAGCACACACGGGAGGGGCGGGCGCGCATCAGGCAAGATTCCCGAGCAAGCAAGTGGACGAGTGGACTGTCGACACCCTCCTGAGCTGTAGCACGACGGAAAGGGTCAACCTCCCCCTCCTCCAGGGCCCCGCTCCGAAGAGCTGTGGGGGCTGGCCGGCGGCTCCCTGAACCGGAACCTGTTCCCAGAGCTGTGGAGCCTGCCCAGAGCGCCGCCTGGCCTCCTCCGTCCGCGTTTCTGCCCCTTTACACGAAACCAGCCCCGTACACAGTGCACTTGGGTGCCGGCTCCTCTGTGCACGCCCAGTCAGTCACACAGTCCCCAGCTGGGACCCTGGCAAAGAGGCCCGGCTCAGAGCCGCAGATGGAGGTTGGGGCTCACCCCGTCCCCCCTTCTCCTCCCCTGTTTATCTGTACGTGCCCAGCCTCTTCCAGGGAGCCCTGCTCACACAGCCTCTGGGGCCCAGGAGTCTGGGGCCCCTTCACTGGCTTCCCCCTCTCTGGCTCTCCTTGGTCGCACAGCACACGGGGAGTGTTGGTGGGATGTAACTGATGTAAAACAGACTCCCGACTTCTCACCATCGGTGCGTGTGCTCTCGGCGTGACTCACTGGTTGTAGAAGTGAGTGTGAGGAGACCAGGGCACAGTTGTGCTAACTGGGCTTCTCTGGGACATGGGCCAGGGCGGGTAATTAGCTGTGGCATGTTCCCCACCCCACCCCACCCCTTACCCCCTGAATTCCTCTGGCTGGAGGCAGAGTGCAGACCCTCCAGGGGTGCATCAGAGTTCTGCTGAGGTGGGGGCCTGGGACTTAGCCACTCCAGTGGTTTTTTTGAGAACCAGATCTCTGGAGCCCTTGGCGCCCTTTACGTCCCACAGCTGTGAGCTGTTGACTCCCTCCCTGACCAGCCCACACAGACTGTCTCCACCCTGCTTTGTGCTGAGATGCTGACCCTGTGACCAGTGGCTTCCATCCCCTCCTTGCCACGCCCCCCCAAAGTGATGGTTCGGTTAGTGGGGGCAGCGGCAGGAGATGGGGGGAGACTGTGAGGGCCTGCCGCCATTGTGTGCCTCTGAGGGCTCCTCTCGCCGGACCAGCTCCACTGCTCCCTCACGCAACCCTTCCCACCCAGGGCCGCCAGTCCCGGGCTCCTCGTCTGCCCGGTTGTCCTTTGAGTCCTGCACGCTCGTCTGCAAGGAGTCCCTCTGGCAGTTGTCCTCATGTAAGCCCCGGGAGGTATACCACTTATTTTCTGTTGGAACTGTTACTGAGCCGGTAAGTTGTGTGCAATCACATCCGTCAAAGTGTTTATTTCCTCCCCTGGCCGCTTGGTCACCTTCTCAGCACGAGTGCTAGTTTCCACTGACCCAGCAGTGAAGGTAGCTGCTGTCCGGGCTCCCCTCCCTCCTGGCCCTCCTGGCCCTCCTGGTGCAGACACTCATTTTCAGAGCTGCTCTGTAATTCAGCAAGTCGTTCGTAAGGGCTGTCGGTGCCCAGCTCAGTGGTCTCGGTGGGCCAGCCCTGTCATCTCAGATTCCTAGCGCCCTGATTTTGCAGCCCAAGACTGACTTGCAGGACTCTCTAGCTCCTGAAAATACTGCTCTTCCTCTGCTCATCCTGGGCCCCCATGTCCTGGGAGATAATGATACTAATGATAATACTGAGCCTGGCGTTTTGCCACCTGCCTGAAAGCCCAGCACGCATCCCTCCACGGAGCCCTGCAGAGCTGTTCTGCTGGGACAGGTGGGGCTGACGGCAGGTGGGGGGAGTGCCGCCGCCTCGTCACCGCCACTGCCTGTCCTCTGCACCTACTGTGTGCCAGCCCTGTGTGCTGCCACCCAGGCAGCTGACTTGGTCCCCGAGGCTTGGGGAAACTGGGTCGCTTGCCCAAGGTCACGCGGTCGGTAAGGGCGGTGCTCTAAGAAGGCCTCCCTGGCCATGGGCATGGAAGATGGGAACACACTGTCACGGGGGCCAGGGACTTTGTCGGGAGACTTGGCTGTCATCCTGCTGTGTTTACTCGTGTGTGGTTGGGGAACACTCCTGCTGTGTCCCCGGTAACATTTGTTCTGGTTGTTTTTCCATGGGAGCCAACAGGGAAGTCCTGTTCCCCCACCTCGTCAGGGGGTCACCAGTCCAGAAGACTGGAGCACCGAGAAGCTCAAGGACACAGTGTTTGTATTTCCTGCCCTCTTTCTTCTGGCAGAAGTATTGCTGTGTTCATTCTAGGGGGAAAGATCTGGACACCACTCCCAGACCCCAGGATTTGCCCCATGTGTTCCTCCTGTGGGAGCTCAGAGCCAGCTGCTTAGGCAGCCCAGGAAGATGTGCCGGCCAAAGGCAAGACCCTTTTGGATCCTGCAAAGTTCAAGTTACCGTCAGCAGCACCTCCTCCTGCCCAGATTGCGAGGCTCTAGCAGCAGACCTGCCAGAAACCAGCTTCAGGGAACCCCCAGTCCCATGAGGCCTCTCTGAAAGGACAAGCAACTTGACCTTCACCGGTTTCTCCAGGCTCCAGCTCTTGTCTGAGCTCATCAGTTCTGAATGTCTAAATAAATGGAAGTGAGCAGAGGTGCAAATAACCCAAAACCAATAAAATCCCAAAGTCATTTCTATTTCTCATATTGTCAGCGCTACACAGCCAGCCATGTCCCTGCCCTCTCGCTCCGTCTTCCTCGTGCCTGTGGCTGGCTCTGTGTCTCCGTCTATCTGTCTTCCCTCCCTCCTCACACCCCTCTGCGGCTCAGCCCAGCCCACGCCCCTGAAGCCTGGGAGCCACAGCAGAGCCGCCTTGCAGACCATCTCTGGTTCCTGCCCTTGACAGGGCAGCCCGCAAGGGAACCCAGACTCCCTGGGGCTTCGGTTCTTTTATCAAGAACCAGTGTCCCTGTCCTTCAGCTTGCCCTGCCGGCCTGTGGGGACTCGGTTTTAGAGGCCATGGGCTCCCAGCACTCAGCGGCCCCAGCCTGGCCAGAAGAGCGGAGGGCGGGGGGCCCAGCGAGAGCCTGCTTGTCTGCCTGCTCACCAGCCCTCCCCCAACACCTCCACCTGCCATCATGCCAGCTGGGCGGGCAAGAGTACTTATGCTCTGATTGACATGCCCAAAGCATCTCAGCAATTCTGGTTTGGCTGAGCGGCTTCCCCAGCCCCTGCAAATATTCTGTCATGTATTTATTTTTAAGCTCATGAGAGCATTTATTCGCCACTGTCTGTAATATGAATCTGGCTCATCTGTTAACCAATTAGACCTGGGAGTATGTCCTTGCTTGCCCAAAGCTGACAGGCAGACTGAGAGGCAGAGGGACGCAGCCCAGGGGCCTAGCAGAAGTTCCATGGTGAGCTCCTGGCTTGTTGGGGAGGCTGCTTTGGTGATGATGCCCCTGCAAAACCTCTGATACCATTGTGGTTCGGGTGCTGTGAAGGAAGAGCTGGACTTTGGCCTGTGGCAGTCTCTTTGGAAAAGGCCTCTCCCCGGGGGAACTACTACTTTCAGGAGAAAAAGCAAGATCCCTGTGGTGGCTTTGTGGGCATTGACCTGGGGTCACTGAGTGACCCTCGGCAAGTCACGTCCCTTCCTTCAGGGGTCTGGATGGCCCCTGAGCGCCAGCTCTGAGGTGTCCCCCTCTTCAGTTTTGACAGTGGGTGGAGTGGGTGGGTGGCTGGGAAAAGCCCGTGCTCAGGAGTCAGACATGAGGCTTTGAATCCTGCTCTGCCATCAATGGCTGTGTGGCCTCAGGCAAGTTGGTAACTTTTCTGTGGTTCTGCCTCCTCACCTGGGGATGGGGATAACAGAACCTATCTCTGTGTTGTGAGGAGAATGTGAGTTAGTACATGGAAACTACTTAGTCACATTGGATGCTGAGTGAACACTCAGGGCTGGCTGGTAGTGCTTTTCTTCGGGGTGAAACAAGCCTGACAGTCTAAGAGCCCAGCTAAAACGTGACCTCTGTACTCTGCCCCGGCATCTCAATGTGAGGGTCTCCCTTCTGGGCCTTTTCCTAGTGCCTTCTTGGGTTTCTTCAGGTGCTTCCTGGGCTCTGGTGCCATGTGGGTGATATTCTGACCAGTGAATGAATCAGCATTTATGCATTAAAGCATGATATTGGGGTGTTGCCTCAGCCCAAGAGCGCTCCTTCCCCTCGCTTCTGCAGGGCTACATGGCTTCACCTGAGGGGTGTCATGTGGTTCTCTGACCCAATCCCCTCCAACTTATTGGGAAACTCCATTTTCTGAGTGAAGCCAGAAAGCAGAGGCTGAAGCATCCTGCTGTCACTGACGACTGGAGCTGTGACACTTTGGCTCAAATGACTCTAGTAAGTTAGTGGAGAGGTACGGGGAAGTGCACAGCCTGAAGAGGGAAGTGGGAGATTCTGAATAGTAGGCCAGCCCCAAGGGTGCCCGAGAGTGGTGACAGCCTCCCTCACCAGAAGAAGCGACACTTGCAGATGGGAGGCAGATGGGAGACAGGAAGGGCATCGGCATGGGTGGTACCCAGCCCGGGGTGGCGCACCCAGCCCGGATGGACCAGCCTCTTTCCCAGTCTACCAGCGCCTGCCCTGGCATGCAGTCTCAGCTCTGTATTGAAAAATCATGAAATGCCAAGAGCCAATACCACCTGAGATCCTGCCACTCCTTAGCCAGTACCACCTGAGATCCTGCCACTCCTTAGCCAGTACCACCTGAGATCCTGCCACTCCTTAGCCAGTACCACATGAGATCCTGCCACTCCTTAGCCAATACCACCTGAGATCCTGCCACTCCTTAGCCAGTACCACCTGAGATCCTGCCACGCCTTAGCCAGTACCACCTGAGATCCTGCCACGCCTTAGCCAGTACCACCTGAGATCCTGCTACTCCTTAGCCAGTACCACCTGAGATCCTGCCACTCCTTCAGTGTAGTGGTGAAAAGACAGATGTTAATTCTGGTGGATGCCCTGACAAGATGGGCAGTGACCCACAACCCGCGGGGAACGGCGTCTTTGACCCCAGAAGCTGCCAGGGGAGGCCTGTGCAGGCCACATGCTGGCCAGCTGCCCTAGCTCTCCGTGCGTGACCTGCGCCTGGCCCCGCAGGCCAGGGCAGGAGCTGCGCTCCCGGCTTTAGGCCTTGACCCCTACCAGTGGGTGTCAGTCCAGAGCGTGCTGAATACAGATTCCTGGGCTCGGGCCCCAAGATTCTGAATCACAGGTCTGGAGTGTGGCGTGGGGACATGCATTAAACACTATATATGTACATTTACTCACAATGTATATTACATATATGTGTGTACACACACACACACACACACACACACACATCGGTAGTGACTGGTCAAACTGGTTGATGGAGATTCTCCTTGAGAAATATGAAAACACCGAAAACACCGAGGCAAAGAGGCCCCATCCCTCCCAGTCCTCTCCATCACTGAAATACAAGTGAGATTTTGACTGACGCGTTTAGATGTTTCCATTGCCTTCACTACAGATACTTAGGAAACAGGGCAGGTGCTGGTAGTTGGAAATCCTTGAAAGGAGACCATTTCCCCACATGCATCCCACTGAGGGCTCGTGGCTTGCTGTCTGCGCTGAGCCCTCTGAACCTCCTTTAGTGGAGTCTGGGTGTGAACGAAATGGCCCTGGATCCTGGCAGCCGCCGCCCCTGCCCCGAGGCCTGAGAACCGCAGACCTTCCCATCCAGCTTTCTCCTCCCCTGCTGGCGCCACAGCGCACTGAGTCCCCCAGATACACCCGGAGGACAGCCACCCCCTGACCGCAGGAGGGCAGGAATCTGGTTTCTACCCTCCATGCTGCAGCTCCTCGACGCTGTCCCAGGCCCGAGGCTGCCACCACTCCCTGGGGGCTCCAGAGGAAGCTGAGGGAGCCCCCACCCCCTTTCCTGTTACTCAGCTGTGGTCAGGGGACCCAGGCATGTCACTCCCAGAGTGTAGACCGGCTTGCCCCAGTGGGGCAGACGAGGATGGGATATCATTTTATCCCATTCTCAATTCCTGGTGGCTTGAGCTTGTCTGTAGGGATGCCAGCCAGTGAGCTCACACTCCAGACTCGGAGGATGGCGGTCAGAGAAACTGGGCTGGTGAAGGCCAGCTGCGCCTCAGGAGAGGGACCCGTATCCACGGCAACCTTTGCACACACACACAGAGTTCCAGGCCCACAGCTCAGGTGCTCAGGTGCGGCGCTCACAGCTCACAGACCAGCCCGGCGGGGGTCTGGACACTCACCTTTGTACTGAGGGGTGAATTGCTTCATGGCCAGCGGCAGGGACTCGTAGAACTTCTGCTCCTGGGAGATGAGGGGCTTGCAGATGGTGTGCTCATCATACTTCAGCACGCTCAGGTGCCCGCCGACCTGGTGCAGGAAGGGCTCCAGCTGCACGTTCACCACGGCGTCCCCGGAGTCCATGCTTGCCCGCACAACCATGCTTCGGCGCGGGGGGTGGGGCGTCCCGCAAACCCCCAAGAGGAGAGCCTGAGGTAGACGTGGCGGCTCCTGGGCAGAGTGTGGTGCTGTCACTGGGCCGCTGCTGCTGTCCCCACGGAGGGCTCTCGGCAGGGGGGCCTCTAGGAAGCAGAGGAGAAGAGTGGGCGCGGTGGGAGGGAGGTGGTGCCCCGGGAGCTTGGAACGCCCCGGTCAGCCACAGCTCGCGGGCGGTTTTAAAAGAGACTGCAGATAGGCATCGATTATTTCTGGAACAATCTGTCACAAGGAACCCGCCACCGTTGTTGCCTCCAGGGTATAAGACTGAGAGGGACATTTTCACTAAATACTATTTTGTACCTTTTGGGTTTAAATATTAAAACATCAAAGCACATCAAACAAGGCACACGATGAGAAGCTTAAGCTTCCGGAGTGCAGACTTGTCGTAGCCTCATGTCAGTTGTCTGCCTTTGGGAACACGGACCTCAGGCCCAGCGGGAAGAGAGCAGGCTCCCTGCTGGGGGGGTGCTCGGCATCTTACAGGGGTGGGAGGGTACAGCCGTGCTTCATTTTTGTGTAGCGCAGCTGTGCGCCTTAGATTTGTGTCATGGCTCCATTGCATCATTGCTGTGTGAAGTTACTAAATCGCTCTAGGCCTCAGTTTCCCTATCTGTAGAGTGGGATAATAACGATACCCACCTGATGGAGTTAGGGACGGAATTGAGATAGCACCTGGGAGCAGGCTAGTCCAAGGTCCAGAGCCATCACCACTGTTTCTGGCATCACTGCCAGAGGGGTGGTGTTTTCCTGGAGCTCTAGCTTGTAGAAAGTCAGACCTCATCACTGCCACTTTGAAACTGAGGCAGTGAGGCCTGAGATGCCTTGCCATGTGCTGTGGGCCAGGAGCAAAGGCAGCAGGAAAGGGGGGAAGGGAGGCCTCCAGTCTCTTGCCTCATCCTCTTCCACCTGCTGCTCCCTCCCCCTCCCCCAGGGCAAGCTTGCTGGGCCTCAGGCGAATGCTGGAAGTCTGGGCTGGAAAGGCGGTCCCTAAAGATGTCCTGACTTTGTCTCAGGAGCGTGCTGGGGAGACTGGGGGGGGGGGAGGCTCTTCTGGCTGTCTTTGTTCTGTCTGAGAGCACATTCCTGCAGTGGTGCCCGTCACCACTGAGTTATTAATACCCTCGCCTCTGCTGGACGCCTGGCCAAGGATGTGACCAGACTGGGCAGCACTGTGCATGATTAACCCTCTAGTGACCTTCAGCCAGAACCATGGCATGGCTGACTGGCTGTGTGCACAGCAGTACCTACCAGTTTGTTCAGGACCCATCTGGGAGAGGCTCCTGCCACCCACCCAGGTCTACAGTACCAGGGGCCTCAGCCTGGCCCATTCACCGTCTGCAAGGGCCTCTCCTGCATTGGCTACTGCTTGGCAGGCCACAGAATGCTCCTTTAGGAAGGGGGGGGGACAGTTCTGCTGTGTACATTTGCTTTGCTGGATGCAGGGGGAGATTTTGAAGAGCTGCCTGTAAGATTGGAACAAGGCTGGGCAGTTGGGATTCTGGGGTAAGCACTCGGGTGGGGTGGGGCGGACGCCTAGTGGTGAGGGGGCTGTGCCTGAGAGGCCTCTTCCTGGCTTGGCTGTAAGACCACACAGAGGTCCGCCCTCCTTCCTGTCCCAGGAGCTGAGAAAAGTTGGGAGGAGACATCTAGTTGTGGAGAGAAGTCGGAAATCAGCAGTAAATTGAGCTCTCCAGTCTGGTCATTACACAAGAGAGCACGACTGGCAAACCAATTCTACATGCGCACTAGGCGATGATAAGGAGGAAGGAGGGAGAGAAAAACTGAGGCCGCCCAGTGCCTCTTCTTGCCCGGCTCACTTCAGTATCAGCTGACCTGTCCCCAGAGAGAGGGAGGCAGAGGCAATTCTGGTAACCACAGGGATAGCCAGGTTGTAAAACTCATTTATAGCCACTCCTAGAAGGAGTCTGGGCCCCGTCCCTCACGCCCGTCTCCCTGGGACCAGCATTAACCAAGGCCTGGCCCCACCGCTGCAAGCCGGCTCTGCTGGCACGTCCAGGCAGTGTCCACGCAGGTGCTCGTGCTGCGGTGAGGGCCGTGCACTGACCTTCTCCCCCCAGCCCCCGTCTCCCCCCAGAGCCTGAAGAACATGGACGTCACCCGCAGAGGGAGGGTGGAAGGGCTGATGAGAACACAGGGACACACAGAGAGCTGCTGTGAGCCGGGCGTGTCCTGGGAGCTTCATGCAGATCAGCCCCTGGAAGCTACATGACTCCCCTTGTGCCTATGGGGTATGTAGAGTGAGTGACCAGCCCATCTTGCAGATGAAGAAAAGAGATGCAGAGAGGTTAAGTAACTCGCCTGCCTGTGCCCAGCTGGCCTGGGGAGAGCAGGGAATTGAACCCAGGCACCTTAGCCCAGGTGTACCCGCCACGCTGAGAGAGCCTAGGGCTGCTGTTTATCTACTCTGAGAGTCAGGAACTGAGCCTCAAGGAACCTGGACTTGACCAGGGTCACCTACAAGTCACTGTTCTGGGACAGGGACCCAGGTTTTCTTGCTCCCCCCACCCCTGGTGTGGGCTCCCCCGCCCTGACGGCCCCCTGGCCTGCCCTCCCTCTGCTGGGTAACAGTGAGGGTGTACTAGTGAGGGGTGGGTTCCTCACTGCCACACACCATCAAGAGGGGTTGGGGAGGTGCCCCTAGAGCTGGGGCTTGGTCTTGACCTTCTCAGGGCTTTTGGCCGGGGGTGTCAGCTGGATCTGAGAGGTGGTGTCATTCCCAGAGCCCCCCAACCCGTGTCAGATTCTCAGGAGCCTCATCTGAAGCCTTTCAGGGAGATGGACTGAGGAAGTCCCTGGGCCTCCAGGACAGCCTGTGGCACAAAGGCTCCTGCCTGAGAGGCAGGGGGTGGGAAGGTTGGGGGAGGGGGCGCTGGCAGGGAGGGGTCTGCTGGGTAGCCATCCTGTACTTTTAAAAATGTTGGGCCCAGGGCCCTCCCTGGTGGCGCAGTGGGTTAAAGCACAGCACTAAGAAGCTGAAGCCACTTCCGCAAGAGTTCGATTCCCGCCTGCCCCTGAGGTGACCACATGGCGTGGCAGACCTCTCCTGACCCGCCCACTGCTCCCCTCAGCAGTGTACTTCCTCGATCTGTCTGTTCTGCTCCCCACTCTGTCTGTGGTGAAGTCGTGAAGTCTCTCACTGCCCCTGAGCCTCTGGCCTGTATCCCAGTTCTGTATGCACAAAAAAAAAAAAAAAAAAGTGCTGGGCCCCTGGGCCAAATTGGGGGACTGCTCTGGGTCTTGGTTGCCACCCACTGCCGCAGCGCGGGTGATGTCCAGGTGACAGGGTGCTGGCAGTGCCCTGTGGCGTCCTCTTCCCAAGCATCTCTGCCACTGAGGTTTGTCACCTCGTGATTGTTCCCAGGGCTGGCTCTTGTGACTCAGCCTGGGTGCCCAAAGGTGAGGGAGGCACCTGACCTGGACAACCTCTCAGACACACTTGCTGGGTGCCCTGGGCTCCCTCCAGTGCTTCCAAGGGCGTCAGGCGTCCCTCTCTCCAGCCCACACCTTCCAGGGCCCCACAACCTAGGCCCCTCACCCAGTATCCTTCCCTGCAGTTCCTGGATGCAAGAAACGAGGATGAAGGAGGGAGGTGGGGAGAGGGGTGAAGAGGGCAAAGGGCAGCTAGCCTGAGAGATCACTTAAGGCCTCCTCCCAGGAGCAGTAGACACATACCTCCAAGCCCCTGTGTCTTCCTGCCCCGTCACTGGGTCATGTCCTGAATGAACTAACTCTGGGCCTCCTTCCAGGAGACCCGAGAGCTAATTTCTCTGATGGGCCCCACCACCGAGCTGGTGGTTAAAGGAGTCCCCGGTCTGTCTGTCAGTCCCAGCCCCTGCTTTTCAGTCCTGTGGGACCCGAGTGACAGCCAGCCTGTCACGGGGAGGCAGGACGCTCCCTGGCCTGAAAGGCGGGCTACAGACAGCAAGGCCTCCAGAGGCGGAACACGACAGTGCCAGTGGTGCCAGACGATGACAGGCCGCCTTTCCAGCCCAGGGGGCTGAGGGCGTTGCGGGTCGTCACGGCCGATCACCTCTGTGTAGGTAACCCCCGCCACACACGAGACCTGTGCTCGTTAACATTCACGGAGGAGACACCTCTTTTAGAACTCACCACTCCCATTTTAGCGACGGTACTAGAGGAAACCACAAATCAAACTGTGGAGGTTCACACTTGGACTGAATCACTGAGGGCCTATATCTTATAAAGCCTGTCGGCTCCCTCTGTCTGGAGACCGTTTGGCTGACCCTGATCGTGGTCAGGGCTGTCCGCGAACATTCGGGAGTTCTCCCTGGGAACACGTGTGGCTGCTCTTCCCTCACACCTGATGAAAGTGTGGCCACGAGATGCGCTTTGGCCGAGGTAATGTGGCTGGGAGGGGCCTGTCACTCCTGAGGGGAGCTTGAAGGGCCAGCGGTTCCCCCACATCCTCTCCCCGACCGCTGCGGGGGACCTTGAAGCACAGTGACTTCCTGAGCGACGGTATGTCTGGGGGATGTAGCAGGAGAGAGAAAGACCTACCTCTGCCCTACTAGGCCACTGAGATTTGGGTCGTGGCTTGTTATGCAGCACAGCTCAGTCCCATCTGACTGCTCCCCGACTCACAGCCTGACACCCAGGATGGGCCCTTCCCCCGAGGGAGGCGACCTCACACGAGTCAGTACACAGACCATCAGTGCTCACACATCCCCGTGTGGTCATCGTTCATTATTGATGCCCCTGTTGAACATCTACTGTGGATCACTGGCCTTACAATCACCGTCTCTCAAGAGAATACTTTTCAGATGGAGGAAAGTTGGAGAATGATCCCAGGGTCCAGAGCCTGTGAGCTAGTATTCAGCAAGTCTTTCTGTTCCCAAGCCTGCACCCATCCTGCCTCCCCTTGAGCCCTGAGACCTAAGTGAGGCTCTGGGGGCCCGAGGCCCTCTCCAGACCATGCCCCAATGCTCCCACCAGACGTGGGAGCCTTCCAGGAACTTCTGCCTGGCCACGAGTCTGCCACACCCAGGCATCCTGCTCCCCCGGGCAGGGCTCCCCGAGGCACTGGGCAGTGTAGATGGCCAGGGTGTAGGTGCTAGACTCTACTGTGGGGCCAGTTAGTGCTTGACCCCGAGCCAGCCCACCACAAGCACTCTCTAGGACTAGAAAGCTAGGACCTACCCAGGAGCACGATAATTTCTCAGAGATATGCAGATGAGCTGGTGATTACCGAAATACAAATTCATTTAAAGGCCTTATTGACTGCCTGGTAGTTTTCATCATCATCTATTTTCTCAATCAACAGATACTAAAGTATAATGAGTGTCGTAGGATTATTAGTAGGGAAAAATTATGTTGAAAAATAAGTCCTAGTTGGGAAGGTTAGGAGAGATCTACCGTTGCCTGTGGCGGGGTGGTGGAGAGATGTAGCCCCCACCCGGGGAGCGGAGGGGGGGCCTGTCTCAGGAGCGTGTGTGCGGTAGAGGCGTCAAAGGCAGGCTGGCAGACAGGCTAGAGACGGGGTATGTGGGCAGGAAGGGGCAGGATGCTGAGCAGGGCCTGGCCACTGTGCACTTCACGCCGCCCTGTGTGTGTGTGGTGGGGGGGCAGAGAGAGCACCCGGCCACACCGGCCAGATTCCTGTCTGACCCCCACGCAGTGCAGGGGGAGGGGGTTCCTGAGATCACCGAGGTGTGGAAGCCTTTGGGACCACATCCCAATAAATCTGGGGGCGGGGGGTCGCATCTTAGGGAGGAGATAATTAAGAAACAGCTTATAGTGAAAGAAGGTGGCAATACAAAACGTGTCAGGCTGTAGATTCAAAAGCAGCATGGTTTATGGCCTGCCCTCTCGCCTCGGAAGCTCTAATGTACATTTTGCAGGCCTCTCCGAGCCAGAGGTTTGGTCCAAATACCAGTCAATGCCTTTGTGATGCCCAAGGGAGCATTTTTTTAATCTATTAGAGATGAGAGGACCCGAAAACCATTTAAAACCGCTTAGGTCGTAATGGGCAAGAGAATTTTGGAGTTTTTCACGTGGCGGAGGGTTGTGTATCATCTGGAGCCATCCAGGCTGGGAAGGCTCAAGATTATTTTCTGGGGAGAAAAAAAAATCAAGTTTTAAAATCTATTCTAAAAATGACTCGAGGGCCACAGGACATGTGCCCTCTGTCTGTGTGGGCCCTGATCCCAGGGGATCAATACCAAAAGCCGGGGACCTCGCACGCCACCTTGCCAACCGTGCCTGAAATATGTGGCTTTGGAGGACATCCGTTTCCCCGGGGAATGCTCGCTTTCCAGAATCACAGAGCAATATTTCATATTCCCCGGTTGCTGAAACTTACTTTGGGACTGATTTTATCCTACGAGAGATTTTTTCTCTCCTTTTCTCGTAACATTGAGAATCTCCTAACGCTCTTTCAGCTTGAGGACCAAATGCGAGTTTAATACAGCAATTGTTAGTTTAGAGGCCCTTCAGCCACTGACAGATGTCCTTAGAAGCACCAGCAGTAAGCTTGCTGCCCCGGCAGGAGATGCATGGGGAGAGATGAGTCAAGGAGCTGAGCACCCATGAAGGGCCGCTCTGGGGAGCCGGGGCCCTCGCTTGTCCCGGCCGCGTCCACAGCCCTGGCGTCCTCGGGCAGGGTGGGCCTGCATGGCTAGTAGGGGCACATTGCCCCTTCCCAGCAGACCCCCTCGCAGGGCACCCAGATCCTGGAGCTGCCCCCCACAAGCCCAGCACATTTCCCAGACCCTGACGGCCTTCCCGACGCCTTCCTGCCTAGGAGGCCTATGAGTCAGAGAGAAGGTTCTGCCAGTTCTTTCCTTGGCTACTTTATGGTTGCAAGAAAGACTTTTGCACACAATAATGGGGTGGAATGAGTGAGATGTGGAGGGGGGGCCTGGAGGGGGCCACTGTCCCTCAACCAGCTTAGCTGAGCCTCTTCACGGAGGAGGTGAGCTCTCCCCAGCAGAGGGCGGCAGCAGACACATCAGAACCACCAGGGCAGGGTGGCGTCTTTCCTACCCAACTACAGCCAGCAGACACCTCCGTCTGACCGCCTGACTGCCAGGAATGTCCTCCCTGAACACCTTGGGTTCCTGGCCTGTCCACAGAGAGCCCCATCAGGGACACACGTCCCCGCCTCCCCCGGGGCGGTGTTTTTTAAAGAGCTCAGAAGTTGTTTTTTTTTTAATCAAAGTCGATTTTCCTCCATTGTCCCTTCTCTTGCTGCCTGTCTGCTTTTGCTAAAGGTCCCCTGGCTGGAAATTGGGGTGGGTTGGGGGGGTTCTGCCCTGAATGAGGCATGGTCTGAGGAGCGGGGTGCCTGGGTCAATTCACAAGGGGAGGGACTACAAAACCCGGGGTCGGTGGCTGAGGAGGGGCAGGGAGGATTCTGGAGAGCACAGTTGAGCAGAGCTGAGTGTGATCTACTGCCATTCAGCTAGCTGTGGGGCCAGGTGGACCCTCCCGCCCTTTCTGCTGCTGGGTAAGGGAGAGTAAGAAGAATGAGGGGAGGGGCTGCAGGCCACATTTGCTGATCCATCTTCCCCCAGCAAGTTCCCGAACCACCCGCACGCCATTGCTCTAAATTTAACCCCTATTCCCTGTGTTTCTGGTGAACAAATAGCAGCCACCTAGATTCTGCCTGGGAAGGATTCATTCAAGGGCCCTCGTCAGAGCAGAAGAAAGCTGGGGACGCTGCTGGCCACAGGTGGCCCCCCCCCACCCCGCACAGGAGACATCTTTCAGGCCCCCGGGGAGGAGCTGGCTCTGGGGGAGACGGAAGCACCAGGGGAGGTGCCCCGGGGGCCTGGTTCTGCCTCATACTATGCGGGCCTCAGTTTCCCTATCTATAGGGAGGCTGTCTGAGCCAGCCACATGGGACAACCGGCCCTTCAGTTCAGCTGGAAGATATAGTGAGGGGAAAATTGCAGAGCGGGTTGGGGGAGACAGATGCTTCAGACTGCAAGACTTAGGTCTTACTGACCCTATGCACCCGAACTGGATCCTGGTCTAAACAAGTGTTAAGGACATTTGGGGTGCAGCTGGGGAAATCTGAAGTCGGAATGAGCGTAGACATTTTCAGGGAGTCGTCGGTTTTGCTAGTGGGGTTATGGCATTGGGGTTATGTAACAGCCTCCTGAGGAACATCCAGGGGGATGTTGTGATGTTCCTAAATTACTGCAAAATACATTAGCGAATTTGACAAAGCAAAAATGGCATAATTTAAACAACTGTTTAAATCCAGGTGCACGGAATGTATATCATTCCCTTTAGTTGTCCTGTAGGCTGTCAGTTCGTCACGGTAGAAAGGTTAACAAACCAGTAGCTTTTAAAAATGATGGCAAACCGGGTCCTATCCTACAGGATCTGAGTCTCTGGGAAGAGACCTATGTGGCTGATTTTGGGCCCCTGGTGGGTTCAGGTTCAGGGCTCAGCTCCCTGGAGAGTCCAGAAGATCCCCTAGACTGCCCCTTCCCAGAGCCATGGGGACCCCTGGGGGTGACACATCTCCAGTGCTCATGTCCACTCCCCCTCTCCACCCCCCAGGCTGCTGCCCACAGCTCTTGACATCATCCAGTTTCCTGGCCACACCCAGCGGAAGGGTGGAGCTGAGGGGACAGAACATGCCGTTCTGGGCCCCAGGGGTGCTGCCCACGTCTTCTGGGACAGCTGCCTCTGTTAAGGGTTAAACCAGTGTGGAGGGGAATTGTTGGCTCCAGCTCTTGCACCCGCCCTCACAGCCCAGGGCCTCAGCTCAGCCCAGCCCTCCTCCTTTTTTGGGAGGCCGGTGAAGTTAGATACCCTAAGAGGACAGTAAGCATTCCTCTAGGAGAAGGGGGAGAGCCGTGGAGGGAAGCACGGATGGAGTTTCTTGCTGAATGGCCCCAACAGCTCTGTCATGCACACCAGCACCTCCGCAGGGCGACCCCCTGGTCAGCCTCAATGGAGGCAGCCCACACCTCCTCCCTCCATGGTGCAGACAGGCCTGTGGTCCTGAGACCCTTGCTCCGCTCACATGAGCACCATCAAGAGCTCAGCCAGGCGCTCCCGCCCCCAGCTCTGCCCCCCAAGGCAGCACTCACCAGGGTCTCCTTCTTGGGGGGGCCATGGGGAATGTGTGGTAGAAGGGTCCAGTGGAAAGTAGTCTTCTGGTGTCTGCGATTGCAGGCACAGGGCAAGGGCCTTTGCAGTGTCCCGGCGTGGAGAGCTCACTGTCCACTAAAGCGCTGGGGGACTGGGCGGGGAGATCTGCCCAGGGGCCAGGCCGCCTGGGGCGGGAGGTCACCTGACCTTCCGGGCTGGCAGGGCTGGCATGGCCAGCTGTCAGCTGGTGTTGGGCTGCTCTGGGCAGGGCCTGAGGACTGGGAGGGAGGGGAAGTTTGAGGAGGGAGGCGGGAGTGGTGTGATTCAGCCTGCTGCCTTCATGGACACTGAGCCTGGGCACCAAGGCTCACTGACCCAAAGGCACTGACGATGGCTTGATTCCTTGTTCTTGGGGTAACGCGAGGATGAGGGCATGTCCTATGCCTCCCCCTGGTCCCTTGTGTCCCCCCCACACCTCACAAACTCACTGCCAGTCCTTCCCCCCACCCCCCCATAACAGCGGCTGCCAGACAGGAGACTCAGGCACCTAGACACTCAGCCAACCCGCCATCAGTCAGTCAGGGGAGACCTGAAGAAGAACTAGGGTGGTCCAGGCTCTCTGGTGGTGGTGGGGGGGGATAATGGTGAGATAGATGAGTGCTCCAACTGAGGGAGCAGCATGTGCAAAGGCCCAGAGGCAGGAGGGAGGGGGTGCCAGGGAGAGGTTGGAGCCTATGGGGAGTAGGGAGTGATGAGAGGTGAGAGGGGGCACTGCACGGAGCCGGCTCAGCTTCCAGGGGAGATAAAGATTTTAAGCCAGGAAGGCCCAGGTTCGGGTTTGCATTTAGGCCTCATTGAGAACAGCTCAAAGGTGGGCAGACCAGTACGAGGCCCCCAGGCTATCCTCAGGCGAGTGAGTCCCAGCCTGGTGGGGAGGGGCGTAGTGATGGGGTGTGAGGGAGTGGACAAGTCTCTGACACTTTAAAGAGTCAGGATTGACGAGGTCTGGTGGTGTGTGGACAGGGGAGGGGTGGGGTGGGGACAGAAAACGGACACGGTCAGGGAAGGCTTCCGGTGAATGACCCTGGCCCAAGTTTAGGAAGGTCTGCAGTCTGCCCTGCAGGCAGCTCAGGTTACGCTGGGCTTCTGGCTGCAGCTCCCTGGGAGCCGGACAGGCCAGTTTCCTGCGGCCCAGCCTGTGCTTTCCTGGGCTTCTGTGTGGGGTTGCTCGGCCCTGAGCCCCAGCTGCTGCCATGCCACGGGACTCAGTCTCCTCCCTGGCCAGACGCTCCGCCCCATCTTCTCCCAGCCTGTCCCCAGAGTAGGTCCAGTCTCCCTGACACTGGGCCATACCCCCGTGGTCTTGTTCCTCCCGGACCCCATCACCCACCTCTTGGTTCTGGCAGCCCCACCCCAGATCTGTTGCTGCAGTACTGAGCGACAGCAAGGCCTTCCCCCCCCTCCCCCAAGTGTCCGCGGAGAGCTCATCCATGCAGATGGCCTCTCCTCCCTCAGTGCCCACTCAGAACAGATGAGACCCTGTGAAATGGGAGAGGAAGCAGGACTAGCACCTGGGTCTCCTGGCCCCCATCCCAGAAGGCCCCACACCACTGTGGCCTTAGTGCCCACCACACCACTCGGGGGCCTGAGCTGCTCAACAGACGTATTAGCAGCAAAAGAACAAGGTTCCCAGGAGTGGGGGCCCCCGCCTGCCCAGCAGCTGCCCCTCAGGTCAGCCTCCTTTCCTGCCCCACATCTGCCCCGAGCTGGCCGTCCACACCCCAAGGGGACAGAGATCTGCAGGCATGACAGGTGGCCTGGTTTAAAGTGGGGTGAGGATTCCACGCCTGCCCCCCTGCTCCTTGGCCCAGGGCATCGTGTTTCACCAGGGACGGCAGGTGCAAGAATCTGTTGCATGCTCCTTGTTTTGTCCCTCTCTGGCCAGCTCCACGCTGCTATCTGATGACCTGGGCCTGGAAAGAGGGTGTGACCTTCTTCCCGACCCCTCTGCCCCCCCGCTTCCCGCCCCGGCCCTTCTCTCCCCTTTTCTGGCTGGCTGGATTTGAATCCCTGTTCTGGCGTCCCTAGAAACACCAGGCAGAGCTGGGCGGGCCTGAGGAGTGCAGAGGCCAGTGAGCTATGGTCAGTGAGGGGCTGAGCCCGGCTGTCCAGGGTCCAGGGTCCAGGGGCCCATCCACGCTCCAGGGCCTGGTTTCTGTTTTTGTCTTGTTATTGCGAAGAGCAAGCTTCCACACCGACTTCCCGTTCATCCATTTATTCAAGAACGTTCTTGAGCCCCTGACGTGTGACCTGAGACGCAGCAGTAAACAGAGCTCCCTGCTGCCACGGAGCCTCACGGGGAGCTGGCGCTTCCTGTTATGAAACCCCATAGGCCACTTTGTTTCTGTTTCCTGACTACGGCCACGTCGCCACGGTCGTGTCCCCGAGCTCGGCCTCACCTCCCAGTCCCTTCCCGAGTCACGTGTGGGCCCCACCTCGGCCTCGAGGGCCCCTGTGCCCACTGGGCTCGTGCCTGTCCCTCCTCCAGGGGCTCAGCCTGACGGCGGCTCCTCTGTGCACAACGCATGCACTCCGGGCCTCTCTTGGAAGCCACCATCGGGGGGGCGGGAAACACCCAGGACTCAACGCACACCCACTATTTGGGGCCCCCCTCTCAAGGCAAGCTGAGGGCTCACTCCCTGTTCCACTCCCACCCCAGCCTTGACTGACAGCTTGGGACAGCCCCTCCCCAGCTGCCTTCCCTGCAGGTCACCTGTCACCGAATCCTGGATTCCAGGACCCCAGCTGACGCCCTTTTTCCATCTCCATCTACCTGCCGCCCGGCCCTGCCGGCTCCCGGATGGACAACTTCAGTAGTCCCTCAGGGTGTCCACACGTGCCTCACAACCCTCCCCCCCCGCCAGCTGTTCTCCCCAGAGTGAGAGTGTGGAATGATCCTTCAAGTCCAGGTCTCGCCAGGCACCCCTCTCGCCCCTGTGGGTCGGCCTCACCGTGAGCCGGCCTCTGCGCTGACCGCCCCTTCTGTGCGATGCCCTTCCCTCACCTCTCCACCTGGCCAGCTCCTCTCCGCCCTTCAGGTGCTAGCTCATGTCGCCTCCGCTGAGAAGCCCTCCCTGACCTCTGCCGTCTGCCACCCAGTCGCCCTCTTTCTAAGCACTATTCCAGGTGCAGGTGCACTTCTGCTTGTGCGGTTTCTCTCCCCCGAGGATGGGGACTTGGTTCGTTTTGCTCAGCAGTGGCAGCCGCGCAGCACCAGCCTCCCAGGACGTGTTCGCGAAGTGAACGACTCGGGAGTGAGCTCACTCTGGGCCTCTGCTTCCTCTTGCAGCCTCTCGGTGCTCTGACTCGCACGGCCAGCGAGCGGTGCAGTGGAGAGCCACCTCCTGACCTCAGACAGGGGTTCTTCGTCTGGTCACGGTGACCCTGGACATGCTTCCTGTGTGCCTCACCTCCCTCCCCGCCATGGTCCCCGTGACAGAGTGTTCTAGCCGAGTCAACGACGACTCTCTGTGTTCCAAGGCGCACGCCATCACTCCCTCTCCACGTTGTTAACATGGCGATGCCCACGGGTGCTGCCGACTGGGCGGGTTCCAGCAGAGGCCCCTCGTCCCCCACACCGGCCCTCTGGTGGCACCCCAGCTCAGCCACCGCCCTCCCTGGGGGCCGTGGGGCGGCCTCCAAGACAAGCGTGCAGAATGCCCCTTCCCTCTCCCCGTGGGAGCACCGTGGGGGCGGGCGGTGCTCAGAGAAGTGAGCACCCCAGGCTTCGGCTCCCTCCACAACCTCCCTTTGTCTTCTTCCTCTTTCTGCCCGCTGTTCCCTACGCCTTGGAGTGTCTCTGGCTTTTTTTTTTTTTTTAAAGATTTATTTATTTGTGCATACAGAACTGGGGTACAGGCCAGAGGCTCAGGGACGGTGAGAAGCTTCACCAGAGACAGAGTGGGGAGCAGAACAGGCAGATCCACGAAGCACACTGCTGAGGGAAGCAGCGGGCGGGCCAGGAGAGGTCTGGCTCGCCATGTGGTCTCCTCCCGGCAGGCGGGAATCGAACTCATGCGGAAGTGGCTTCAGATTCTCAGTGCTGTGCTTTAACCCGCTGCGCCACCAAGGAGGGCCGTCTCTGGCTTTTTAACTCACACATACTCATTCCTTCGGATCTTTCTTTTTTGGCTCTCAGATTATTTTAGATGTTTATGTTCACTTTTCTCCAATCAGATTTCATAATTTGATTTCACCTACCTACTATTGATGAACATTTTCTATGCTAGTACATGCCTTGCTTCAGCAAGGTTTATTTTAAAGTTTTCCTTTCCCCGCCACCCTCCCCGTGGTACTTTACCCTCTCCCCCCTCTCCGCTTCCGGAAACCTCGGTTCTGTTATCAGCGTCTGCTCGTTTATCATTATTTTTAGCTAACCCACTTCATTTCCTTATATTGTTCACATACGTGAAATCAGCAATAGTTGTCTTTATCTTCCTGGCTTCCTTGGCTTCAGGTAATCCCCTGAGTTCCTTCCATTGTGCATTTCATCTTTCCTTAGAGCTAGATAGTATTCTTTTGTGTAAACCACAAAGGGCAAACCACATCTTCTTTATGGAGCCCTGGCAGTGGGCACTTCGTCCCTCCATCTGCCCGCCACTGTATGTCACGCCACATCCGCTGATACTTCTCTGAGGCCGTGAGTAGTGTGCGAGCGTGCAGACACGACTGGGGGAGCATGAGTGTGTCTGCGTGTGCGTGCTCGTGAGTGTGTGTGTGAACCTGAGCGCGAGTGTGCACGTGTGTGTACGTGTGTGCACGTGTGTGCACGTGAGGGGCAGGTGTTCCCCCAGCTTGCTGCGGGGGGTGTGTTTTGGATTGAATTGGTTCATCCTTATTGGTGGGGCTTTAGGAATCGCTGATCCGCAGAGGGCCGGGCTATGGAGTTCGACTTAGAGACTTGGGCATTAAGGGGCCTCACACAGGCCCTGGGTGCCCTAAAGGGAATCCCAAAACAAGGGCTCAGGGATGGGGCCCTTTGGCTTCCTTTGGGGCACAGTGAGCCCACTCCCCTGCCT